GATACCCGGACAGGGGCAGAAGACCTTTCTCTTCTCCTCGGCACACGGCTCTGCGCGGGTTCTTGGCGCGCTAACCCCGGGATGAACTGTGTCTCCACTATCCCAAACGTCTTATAGTTCACTTTTTACCTTGGAAGCTATTTCAGTTCCTGCAGCTCCGGCCGACTTTAGCCTCGGCTCACGTAGGGCTGTGTTCCTTCTGACTGCTGTCCACCGCCTGCCTACGGGGGAGGGGGGGGGCGACACTGACTCGGGCTAAAGCCCTGTAGCGAGCGCAATCCCAACAGCCCTGTTCCGGGGGCAAACAACCGGGGCGCGGCTACATCACGGTAATGGAGGGTGTTGCGGCAAATATTTGCCGTCGCATCAAGGTATTTTCTTCAGTCACTACGAACCGTGCTCACTTGGCCGAGAGGACTCTGAAGCTAACGATGTGGTCCGTTTCTATGGCGACGCCACAGAAAACAATCGCGAGCCGGCGAACCGGACAGAGTAACGAGGAGTGTCGCAAGAACAAAGCGCCGGCCTCTGAATTATGAACGACAGAATAAGCTAACGACGACAGCATCTTCGTTAAACTTCCAAAAGGACGAGTGGACACCAGAACGTAGACTAAATGCCGTGGCCTATTTTGAAAAAGTCCCTCAGTTAGGAGGCTCGTAATTTGTAGTCTTAGCCAAATAGAGTTCAGGTGGGAAAATCAAGGACAACGAAATGCGTGAGAGGGTGAGAAATACAGGAGTTTGGTTGGAAGCCTGAACGGAAGAGGCCACTCAGAAGACCAAGACATAGATGGGAGGCCTAATATTAATTAACATGGGTCTTAGGGAAACAGGGTGAGCGACCGCGTGCTTCTCGAGGACTCTGTGCCTCGTAGTCATTTAAAGGACAGAACGGTTGTAGCTACCTTGTGCAGTGCAGTCAGGAAACACGAGGACCTTCGCAAGCATTGCCCTGCAGTGGTCCTCGGCCTCAAGCCCTGAAGTCACGCATTAGAATACAAACCCTGCATTTCCTCACAAGCGGAGAGCGACTCAGCTGAAGACGAGACACCGCAGTCGTTCGCACCAAAAGCCAAACAGAGACGCCAGCACGTGAGAGCGACGAGACACCGCAGTCGCCGGACTGGGGGCCGACGTATGCGAGCTTGACGCTCCGGCCGCTCTACCCCCCGGTGCGATCAACAGTCACGACCACCACGTTTAATGAAAACCTGTCGAGCAGCTCCGACCTCTCGTCCCAGCGCTGACGAGAAGACTGGCGCAAGGAGCCCTGGCTTCGTTAGACTTCGCACGATCCCCTGGGGAGTAACAACCGCTAATTGCCGCGCCAGGGGAGCGCGTAATCAGGATCAGCCCGTGCACTCAATTAGGACGCCACCAACCGCTTACGAGATACCGCCGAGAAGACAAAAGAAGTGTCCGGAGCGCATCAAGACGTCACGTCGCGTGACAGGACGCCTCTGAAATATGCAGCCGAACTGTATCGACTGCAGTCGTCGACACGTAATCGCGGGCCGACCCGAGCGCTGAAAAATGAAAACCGTCCCTCATTCTGGGGGGGGAGGGGGGAAGGCCAAAGCCAACGAGGCACGCGTTTCGGGTTCTCGTTTCTCCTCCGAACAGAAATAAATTGCCCGTATCATCCGTGAAACAACCGAAATAACAACAATGCAATGCGGGCCGTAACAATGACCTTGGCGTGCCCGCATCGCACTTAAATACCCATGGGGCCACGTCTTTATCGGGTTCTTTTAAATGCCTTCATCTGCACGCACCAGCCCACGGCTTAAACCAACGCTGCACTCAAAATCTGCAATGTCTCTATGACACGCTAATTTTTGTGAGTTCCGACGCAACTTGTCGCCGGCGCCTGACTATTTTATATTTCAGGGAGAGTCACTGTCTCATGACGTCATAATAATAAACCGTCTCGCGTAACCCACATCGATTTCCTCTGTTCCGTGACTACGCGTATTCTCTAGTTAATCTTTTACCGAAAAGAAAGTGTGCGTGCGTTATCGATTGTCACTCGTGAAGAACGACCCCTTCAGGAGTCGAAATATGGAAACGCCTCGAAAAATCCCCGGACGGACGATCCTTTGTGCTCACGTCTAATTCCGGCGCGAACCACGAAAATGAAGCACTTCCTTCTTTGCATGTGCCTGACGAGTTAAAAGCTGTCTCCGTCGTGAATCTAAGCAACTCCAC